CCACGCTCATGCAGCAATATTGCAGCTATATGGCGGCGGTCTGTTAATAATCGAGTCTGGGCTAGACAATCCAGTGACTGACATCATGAGCATCGATCCACGCAAATGGGATCGATGACATGCATCAGTCAGCAAGCCGGACAACACGATCTCGTTAGTCGCCTCTTACGACAAGCATAGTTGCCTTTAAAAAAAATTACGGCAAGTATGGGTGAGGGGGGTTGACAGGCTTGCTTGATCATGTCTCATATTACTTGATATAAAAGGCGACTATGCTTATCAAAAGGCGACTAACGGGATCGGGTGGTCAGGCTCGCTGACCTGGTTGATGCATCTTATCGTATCACAATTGCGTGGATCGATGCTCATGATGTCAATCACTGGATTGTCTGGTCCAGACTCGATTATTTACAGACCGCCGACATATAGCTGGAATATTGCTGAGTGCGGCGTTAAACAACAAACAAATAAATCATATTACATATACCTTGAAAACTGTTGGACAGGTTAATCATTGTAGCTCTATGCATGGGTGAGTGAGTGAGTGGATGAGGGTATGGTTAAGAAGGTGAGTATGGTTGAGAGAGTGGGTAAATGTGTGGTTGAGTGACTGTATGGTTGAGTGAGTGAGTGGGTGAGTGTATGGCTGAGTGAGTGGGTGAGTGTATGGATGAGTGAGTGGGTGAGTGTATGATTGAGTTACCGGGTGAGTGTATGGTTGAGTAAGTTGGTGAGTGTATGGTTGAATAGGTGAGTATGGTTGAGTGAGTGGGTGAGTGTATGGGTATGTGAGGGTGAGTGTATGGATGAGTGAGTGGGTGAGTGTATGGCTGTGTGAGTGGGTGAGTGTATGGCTGAGCGAGTGGGTGAGTGTATGGTTGAGTGAGTAGGTGAGTGTATGGATGAGTGAGTGAGTGTATGGATGAGTGAGTGGGTGAGTGTATGGTTATGTGAGTGTGTGAGTGTGTGGTTGAGTGAGTGTATGGTTGAGTGAGTGGGTGAGTGTATGGTTGAGTGAGCGTATGGTTGAGTGTGTAGGTGAGTGTATGGATGAGTGAGTGTATGGCTGAGTGAGTGGGTGAGTGTATGGTTGAGTGAGTGGGTGAGTGTATGGTTGAGTGAGTGGGTGAGTGTGTGTTTGAGTGAGTGGGTGATTGTATGGTTATGTGAGTGGGTGGTTGAGTGAGTGTACGGTTGAGTGAGTGGTTGAGTATACAGTTGAGTGAGTGACTGGATGAGTATATAGTTGAGTGAGTGAGTGAGTGGATGAGTATATAGTTGAGTGGGTGAGTGAGTGTAATGTTGAGTGAGTGGTTGAGCATATAGTTGAGTGAGTGAGTGGATGAGTATATAGTTGAGTGGTTGAGTGAGTGTTTGGTTGAGTGAGTGGTTGAGTATATAGATGAGGGAGTGAGTGGATGAGTATATAGTTGAGTGGGTGAGTGAGTGTATGGTTGAGTGAGTTGTTGAGTGAGTAGGTGAGTGTATGGTTGAGTGAGTGGGTGAGTGTATGGATGAGTGAGTGGGTGATTGTATGGTTATGTGAGTGGGTGGTTGAGTGAGTGTAAGGTTGAGTGAGTGGTTGAGTATATAGTTGAGTGAGTGAGTGGATGAGTATATAGTCGAGTGGGTGAGTGAGTGTATGGTTAAGAGTGGTTGAGTATATAGTTCAGTGAGTGAGTGGATGAGTATATAGTTGAGTGGGTGAGTGAGTGTATGGATGAGTGAGTGGTTGAGTATATAGTTGAGTGAGTGAGTGGATGAGTATATAGTTGAGTGGGTGAGTGAGTGTATGGTTGAATGAGTGGTTGAGTATATAGTTGAGTGAGTGAGTGGATGAGTATATAGTTGAGTGGGTGAGTGAGTGTATGGTTGAGTGAGTGGTTGAGTATATAGTTGAGTGAGTGAGTGGATGAGTATATAGTTGAGTGGGTGAGTGAGTGTATGGTTGAGTGAGTGGTTGAGTTTATAGTTGTGTGAGTGAGTGGATGAGTATATAGTTGAGTGGTTGAGTGAGTATTTGGTTGAATGAGTGGTTTAGTATATAGTTGAGTGAGTGAGTGGATGAGTATATAGTTGAGTGGTTGAGTGAGTGTATGGTTGAGTGAGTGGTTGAGTATATAGTTGAGTGAGTGGGTGAGTGTATGGTTATGTGAGTGGGTGGTTGAGTGAGTGTAAGGTTGAGTGAGTGGTTGAGTATATAGTTAAGTGAGTGAGTGGATGAGTATATAGTTGAGTGGGTGAGTGAGTGTATGGTTGAGTGAGTGGTTGAGTATATAGTTGAGTGAGTGAGTGGATGAGTATATAGTTGAGTGGGTGAGTGAGTGTATGGTTGAGTGAGTGGTTGAGTATATAGTTGTGTGAGTGAGTGGATGAGTATATAGTTGAGTGGGTGAGTGAGTGTTTGGTTGAATGAGTGGTTGAGTATATAGTTGTGTGAGTGGATGAGTATATAGATGAGTGATTGAGTGAGTGTATGGTTGAGTGAGTGGTTGAGTATATAGTTGAGTGAGTGAGTGGATGAGTATATAGTTGAGTGGGTGAGTGAGTGTATGGTTGAGTGAGTGGTTGAGTATATAGTTGTGTGAATGAGTGGATGAGTATATAGTCGAGTGGGTGAGTGAGTGTTTGAATGAATGAGTGGTTGAGTATATAGTTGAGTGAGTGAGTGGATGAGTATATAGTTGAGTGGGTGAGTGAATGTATGGTTGAGTGAGTGGTTGAGTATATAGTAGAGTGAGTGAGTGGATGAGTATATAGTTGAGTGGGTGAGTGAGTGTATGGTTGAGTGAGTGGTTGAGTATATAGTTGTGTGAGTGAGTGGATGAGTATATAGTTGAGTGGGTGAGTGAGTGTTTGGTTGAATGAGTGGTTGAGTATATAGTTGAGTGAGTGAGTGGATGAGTATATAGTTGAGTGGGTGAGTGAGTGTATGGTTGAGTGAGTAGTTGAGTATATAGTTGAGTGAGTGGGTGAGTGTATGGTTATGTGAGTGGGTGGTTGAGTGAGTGTAAGGTTGAGTGAGTGGTTGAGTATATAGTTAAGTGAGTGAGTGTATGAGTATATAGTTGAGTGGGTGAGTGAGTTTATGGTTGAGTGAGTGGTTGAGTATATAGTTGAGTGAGTGAGTGGATGAGTATATAGTTGAGTGGGTGAGTGAGTGTATGGTTGAGTGAGTGGTTGAATATATAGTTGTGTGAGTGAGTGGATGAGTATATAGTTGAGTGGGTGAGTGAGTGTTTGGTTGAATGAGTGGTTGAGTATATAGTTCAGTGAGTGGATGAGTATATAGTTGAGTGGGTGAGTGAGTGTATGGTTGAGTGAGTGGTTGAGTATATAGTTGAGTGAGTGAGTGGATGAGTATATAGTTGAGTGGGTGAGTGAGTGTATGGTTGAGTGAGTGGTTGAGTATATAGTTGTGTGAGTGAGTGGATGAGTATATAGTCGAGTAGGTGAGTGAGTGTTTGGTTGAATGAGTGGTTGAGTATATAGTTGAGTGAGTGAGTGGATGAGTATATAGTTGAGTGGGTGAGTGAGTGTATGGTTGAGTGAGTGGTTGAGTATATAGTAGAGTGAGTGAGTGGATGAGTATATAGTTGAGTGGGTGAGTGAGTGTATGGTTGAGTGAGTGGTTGAGTATATAGTTGTGTGAGTGAGTGGATGAGTATATAGTTGAGTGGGTGAGTGAATGTTTGGTTGAATGAGTGGTTGAGTATATAGTTGAGTGAGTGAGTGGATGAGTATATAGTTGAGTGGGTGAGTGAGTGTATGGTTGAGTGAGTGGTTGAGTATATAGTAGAGTGAGTGAGTGGATGAGTATATAGTTGAGTGGGTGAGTGAGTGTATGGTTGAGTGAGTGGTTGAGTATATAGTTGTGTGAGTGAGTGGATGAGTATATAGTTGAGTGGGTGAGTGAGTGTTTGGTTGAATGAGTGGTTGAGTATATAGTTGAGTGAGTGAGTGGATGAGTATATAGTTGAGTGGGTGAGTGAGTGTATGGTTGAGTGAGTGGTTGAGTATATAGTTGAGTGAGTGGGTGAGTGTATGGTTATGTGAGTGGGTGGTTGAGTGAGTGTAAGGTTGAGTGAGTGGTTGAGTATATAGTTAAGTGAGTGAGTGGATGAGTATATAGTTGAGTGGGTGAGTGAGTGGTTGAGTATATAGTTGAGTGAGTGAGTGGATGAGTATATAGTTGAGTGGGTGAGTGAGTGTTTGGTTGAATGAGTGGTTGAGTATATAGTTCGGTGAGTGAGTGGATGAGTATATAGTTGAGTGGGTGAGTGAGTGTTTGGTTGAGTGAGTGGTTGAGTATATAGTTGAGTGAGTGAGTGGATGAGTATATAGTTGAGTGGGTGAGTGAGTGTATGGTTGAGTGAGTGGTTGAGTATATAGTTGTGTGAGTGGGTGAGTGTATGGTTATGTGAGTGGGTGGTTGAGTGAGTGTAAGGTTGAGTGAGTGGTTGAGTATATAGTTGAGTGAGTGAGTGGATGAGTATATAGTTGAGTGGGTGAGTGAGTGTATGGTTGAGTGAGTGGTTGAGTATATAGTTGAGTGAGTGAGTGGATGAGTATATAGTTGAGTGGGTGAGTGAGTATGGTTGAGTGAGTGGTTGAGTATATAGTTGAGTGAGTGAGTGGATGAGTATATAGTTGAGTGGGTGAGTGAGTGAGTGTATGAGTTGTTTGGATGATGGACAGATGAGGCACCAACACTATATCAACATTATATGCCAGGGGAATAACAACAATCATCATCAGGAGATGACATATCCCTCTGGTGAGATGGTCGGAGGGACAGACGGACAGACGAGGCATTGACTGAAGTATATCAGTATATCCCAACTCTTTATATTCTGGTGGGATAATAAAAGCTCCTCAGCAAGCCTTGTATTTTAAACATTTATCGACTAGTGTTGATATATTTGATATCAACTGACACTTGGGTGAGTTTCTCTTTGTGTCATACTAGTGGGGTCAACAAAGACAGCAAATCAAACTGGGACAGTATACAAACATTTTATTTCAAATGACACTTCACAGTCTGTATAAAACCAGTCCTAGGTCCGCCTGCACAAAGCGATCATGGAGCTACAATGATCTAAACACAATAATTTTACATTGGCTTAGGGGCTGACCATTTGATAATTCTGGGAAGTGGGGCTGGGATTTTATGGACAAAAATATATTGTCACACTTTGAATTTTTTTAATTATTATTCAAATTGTTTGAAAAAAAAACAGAATAGAAATTGTCAGCCACAAAAATTACATTGTTGCAATGTTTTTTTCAGCAAATTAAAAAAAATATCTGAAGCTGTAGCTGAGAAAATATGTGGTCTCAATACAAAATCCTAGTTCCCCCACACCCACTCAGAATATCAAATAGTTGGTCCCTTATGATAATCGTGGTGCTAAGTTTGCTTTGTGCAAGTGGGCCCTGATACAAAAACACTAATTCCTAAATTACTTTACTCTTTTCAGCAACACAGACGTATCTGTTCCAAGTTTCACTGCTTTGTCTTTCACAAAGTCCTCATAAATACAATCAATTGTCCTTCTATCAGCACCTATGCCAAGTTTAGTCAAAAGCTGGTCGGCCATATTTGGTATCACAGGTTGCATAAGTATCCCACAAGTCCTCAGTGTTTCCATAGCAACATGTAAAACAGTGTTCAGATGTTCTGATTGGTCCATCTGTTTGGCCAGTTGCCATGGCTTGTGGTGGTCAAACATTGCATTGGCCTGATGGAGCACAGATATCAGCTGGTCAAGAGCTTTGTATATTGTCAGAGTCTGGTAGTGTTCGTCCACCGAATCTGAAAACAAGACACAAAAATATTTATTCATCATCCAAAACTGACCTCCACAGCAGATATTGACATGAAATTCAATCACAATTCCTTGCAGGCCATGGTGGTTTGTTTCTTTGTTGTTTAACACCGCACTCAGCAATATTCCAGCTATATGAGGGCGGTCTGTAAATAATCAAGTCTGGACCAGACAATCCTGTGATTGATATCATGAGCATCGATCCACACATTTGGGATCGATGACATGCTTCAACCAAGTCAGCGAGCCTGACTACCCGATTCCGTTAGTCGCCTCTTATGACAAGCATATTCGCCTTTTACGGCAAGAATGGGTTGCTGAAGACCTATTCTAACCCGCGTCTATCTACACAAAAAACAACCAGTTTCAGTAATAACAATATTTAAAAGGGGCCAATGCATAGGTGAACATTTATTTTTTAAAAATCCTTGTCTTGATATTTTTTCTTTTTTTTGTTTCCCCTCATTGATAATACATAGAAGTTATCAAATGAGTGTTTTTGGGGTGGTATATATCCTGTATTAGGAATAAACATTGTATTCAGCAAGCCTTAGCACTAGATTAACTGCCCTTTATCAAAGAGAAGCTACTATAACCCTAGTCCTTGAGACGTCACGTTTGCTTAGAGTCTGCTGTCCTGTCATAACCTTACAAAGTGCCGTCAGATGTACATACAGTGAGAAAACAAAACAAGGTAACTCCTTAAAATGCCTAAGCTACGTCACAGTTTGACACTGAGTTTCAGTATATTGGACTATATTTTTGATAATGTTAGCAATTATCCCAGGAGTTTCACCAGATTCCTGATGGTTAATTCTGACTCGATTGCTGAATGACAAGGGTGTTGCCGTGTTTGTTTGTAAACACTGAAAGTCCCTACTTGACATTTGATATTTGCATCTTTATCCGCATATGACCCCCACGGATATCATTTTTATCCGTTGGCTTTATCCTGCAGAGAAACCTACCCATTATATGATAAATTAAATAGATCACTTGGCATATTTTTTCAAAAGTCTATTTTTTTTAAGGATGACTGCCACATTCTAAATAACAAATTCCAAGAAACAAATAACATGAGAGCTTATGTAAAACTTGACCAGCAACCCTGTAATTAAGAACACAGATCTCTGCAGTGAACATGTCCGACCTACCAGGCAGGGTCTTCAGTGTGCTGTACATGTGTATTTCCTCTGCAGAGAAGTGGGTGTCCATGGCCTGGGGATCTAGGGGAGGGAACACCTGGGCGTGGTTGATGCTGGTCGACGTACACCGGTGGAGTAGGTTGCCCAGGGTGTTGACAAGGCCGCTGTTGATTGTTTCCGTCACTTTCCGGTCAGTGTAATCTGGGGAGTAATTTGTGAATGAGAAAAACGTAATTCCAGATCGGTGATTGAGTGAATCAATGTTGTTTTATGCCACAGTCAACAAAGTTTGAGCTTTATTATGCAGGACTGTTCCACAAAGCTAGCTAATACTTTAATACAATGCACAATAAAAAAATGAATATGGAAACAAAAACGAAATGTGCAATGACCTTTATGATGATGTGGGCAGTGCCTGAGCACCAAGACTATTATTTCTTTTAGCCTAATAATGATAAAAATCCAGCCTTGTCCTGGTAAACTGTTATTAGGCCATGCCCAAGGCTGGCACCCGAGCCATCATCATCATCATCATCATCATCCATCATCATCATCATCATCATCCATCATAATCAATCATAATCAATCATCATCCATCATCATCATCATCATCCATCATCATATAATATCATCATCCATCATCATTCATCCTTATCCATCCTTATCATCCATCATCATCCATCATAACCATCCATCATCATCCATCATCATCATCATCCATCATCATCCAGCATCATCTTTATCCATCATCATCATCATATAACATCATGATTCATCATCATCATCATCATCATCATCATCCATTATCAACATCATCCATCATCATCATCATCCATCATCATCATCATCATCATCCATCATCATCATCCATCATCATCATCATCATCCATTATCATCCATCATCATCATCCATCATCATGATCCATCATCATGATCCATTATCATCATCATCATCCATCATCATCATCATCATGATCATCATCCATCATCATCATCCATCATCATCATCATCCATTATCATCATCATCCATTATCATCATCATCCATCATCATCATCATCATCATCCATCATCATCACCCATCATCATCATCCATCATCATCATCATCATCATCATCATCATCATCATCATCCATCATCATCATCATCATCCATCATCATCATCATCACCCATCATCATCATCCATCATCATCATCATCATCATCATCCATCATCATCATCATCCATTATCATCATCATCATCCATCATCATCATCCATCATCATCATCATCATCCATCATCATCCATCATCATCATCCATCATCATCATCATCATCATCATCATCATCATCATCATCCATCATCATCATCATCCATCATCCATCATCATCATCATCATCCATCATCATCATCATCACCCATCATCATCATCCATCATCATCATCATCATCATCCATCATCATCATCATCATCATCCATCATCATCATCATCCATCATCATCATCATCATCATCATCCATCATCATCATCATCCATCATCATCATCATCCATCATCATCATCATCACCCATCATCATCCATTATCATCATCATCATCATCATCATCATCATCATCATCATCCATCATCATCATCATCCATCATCATCATCATCCATCATCATCATCATCCATTATCATCATCATCATCATCATCATCCATTATCATCATCCATCATCATCCATCATCATCATCCATTATCATCCATTATCATCATCATCCATCATCATCATCCATCATCATCATCATCCATCATCATCATCCATTATCATCATCATCCATCATCATCATCCATTATCATCATCATCATCATCATCCATCATCATCCATCATCATCATCCATTATCATCATCATCCATCATCATCATCCATTATCATCATCATCCATCATCATCATCCATTATCATCATCATCATCATCATCATCCATCATCATCATCATCATCCATCATCATCATCATCCATCATCATCCATCATCATCATCATCCATTATCATCATCATCATCATCCATCATCATCATCATCCATCATCATCATCATCATCATCATCATCCATTATCATCATCATCATCATCCATCATCATCATCCATCATCATCATCCATCATCATCATCCATAATCATCATCATCATCCATTATCATCACCCATCATCATCACCCATCATCATCATCCATCATCATCACCCATCATCATCACCAATCATCATCACCATCATCATCATCCATTATCATCACCCATCATCATCACCCATCATCATCATCCATTATCATCACCCATCATCATCATCCATCATCATCACCCATCATCATCACCCATCATCATCATCATCCATTATCATCACCCATCATCATCACCCATCATCATCATCCATTATCATCACCCATCATCATCATCCATCATCATCATCCATCATCATCACCCATTATCATCACCCATCATCATCATCCATCATCATCACCCATCATCATCACCCATCATCATCACCCATCATCATCATCCATTATCATCACCCATCATCATCATCCATCATCATCACCCATCATCATCACCCATCATCATCACCCATCATCATCATCCCTTATCATCACCCATCATCATCATCATCATCATCATCACCCATCATCATCATCCATCATCATCATCATCATCATCCATCTCCATCATCATCATCATCATCATCATCATCATCCATCATCATCATCATCATCATCATCCATCATCATCATCATCATCCATCATCATCCATCATCATCATCATTATCCATCATCATCATCATCCATCATCATCATCATCCATCATCATCCATTATCATCATCATCATCCATCATCATCATCCATCATCATCATCATCCATCATCATCATCATCATTATCATCATCATCCATCATCATCATCATCCATTATCATCCATCATCATCATCATCCATCATCATGATCCATCATCATCATCATCATCATCCATCATCATCATCATCCATCATCATCATCATCCATCATCATCATCATCATCCATCATCATCATCCATCATCATCATCATCCATCATCATCTTCATCATCATCCATTATCATCCATCATCATCATCATCCATCATCATCATCATCATCCATCATCATCATCATCCATCATCATCCATCATCATCATCATCCATCATCATCTTCATCATCATCCATTATCATCCATCATCATCTTCATCATCATCCATTATCATCCATCATCATGATCATCCATCATCATCATCATCCATCATCATCATCCATCATCATCATCATCATCCATCATCATCATCATCATCATCATCATCCATCATCATCATCATCCATCATCATCATCATCCATTATCATCCATCATCATCATCATCCATCATCATCATCCATCATCATCATCATCATCCATCATCATGATCATCCATCATCATCACCATCCATCATCATCATCCATCATCATCATCCATCATCATCATCCATCATCATCATCTATCATCATATAACATCATGATCCATCATCATCATCATCATCCATCATAATCATTCATCATCCATCATCATCATCCATCACCATCATTGTGTACGAAGCAGGACATACTTCCATCTGAGTGTGGAGTCCCCTCCTTCAACAGGAAGTATCTCAGGCCATCCACACTGTATCGCTCCATGCGGTCACTGGGGTCCACCACATTCCCCAGGCTCTTGGACATCTGTGAAACACAAACCCACACGGTCAACACTGACCAGCACTACAAGGTCAGCCCCCATGTCCTGCCGTGCCATTATGTACTACAATCCTTTTTACCACTATTTGTTAATGGGAGCAAATATATTGTAACCTGAAAAATATTGCATACAGAGTGCATAAAAGTTGAGAATGGGTGCAAAGGAGTCTCGATCATTTTATGTTCTGTTTGTGTGTTCTGTGATGCCACACGCCAGCTAATATCCCAGTGTGTAATTAGGAGGTAAACCTACTGTGTTTTGAAATTTGATGTAGTCCCAGTGTTGAGTAGATACCTCTTTATATTAATTTTAAACAAGAGCTTTAGGAGTGAGGACGATGGGATCTCTAGGAGGGAGGACGGTTCGATCTTTAGGAGGGATCTCTTGGAGTGTGGACAGTGGGATCTCTAGGAAGGAGGACAGTGGGATCTCTAGGAGGGAGGACAGTGGGATCTCTGGGAGGGAGGACAGTGGGATCTCTGGGAGGGAGGAAAGTGGGATCTCTAGGAGGGAGGACAGTGGGATCTCTGGGAGGGAGGACAGTGGGATCTCTGGGAGGGAGGACAGTGGGATCTCTAGGAGGGAGGACAGTGGGATCTCTGGAAGGAGGACAGTGGGATCTCTTGGAGGGAGGACAGTGGGATCTCTGGGAGGGAGGACAGTGGGATCTCTTGGAGGGAGGACAGTGGGATCTCTAGGAGGGAGGACAGTGGGATCTCTGGGAGGGAGGACAGTGGGATCTCTGGGAGGGAGGGCAGTTGGATCTCTGGGAGGGAGGACAGTCTGATCTCTAGGAGGGAGGACAGTGGGATCTCTAGGAGTGTGGAAAAGGGATCTCTGGGAGGGAGGGCAGTGGGATCTCTGGGAGGGAGGACAGGGGGATCTCTAGGAGGGAGGACAGGGGGGTCTCCACGATTGTGGACAAGGGATCTCTGAGAGGGAGGACAGTGGGATCTCTAGGAGGGAGGACAGTGGGATCTCTAGGAGTGTGGACAAGGGATCTCTGGGAGGGAGGACAGGGGGATCTCTAGGAGGGAGGACAGGGGGGTCTCTAGGATTGTGGACAAGGGATCTCTTGGAGGGAGGACAGTGGGACCTCTGGGAGGGAGGATAGTGGGATCTCTGGGAAGGAGGACAGTGGGATCTCTAGGAGGGAGGACAGTGGGATCTCTGGGGAGGACAGTGGGATCTCTTGGAGGGAGGACAAGGGGATCTCAAAGAGTGTGAACATTGGGATCTCTAGGAGGGAGGACAGGGGGATCTGTGGGAAGGAGGACAGTGGGATCTCTAGGAAGGAGGACAGTGGGATCTCTGCGTTGGACAAGGGTAGTTGTGGTTGACCATGTACCTACCTTTCTACCATCTACCAACCAATGGGAGTGACACAGCAGGCGTGTCGGAGGGGACAGGTCAGCGGCCATCAGGAACGCAGGCCAGTACACTGCATGGAACCTACCGGAGAAAGATGTACACATGCACAGCCAAGGTTTAGCACTCCAGATAATTTTTAAAACCACTGTTTATTTATTTAGATGCTATCAATACACTTAATATTGGAGACTTTTCTTTGCATATGAAATACATATATATTCCCTTCCACCCAGTCTATGAGTATTTTTTAAACCAGGTAATATATAAAATTCTTCTATTCATGTGCTGCCTGATGTGTGTCAGCTGTCCCATAAGGTGAAATACAAGCAGACAGAAAACAAGCAATCCAGTGATTGACATTATGAGCATCGATCCACACAATTGGGATACGATGACATGCTTCATCCAAGTCAGCGAGGCTGACCACCTGATCGTGTTAGTCACCTCATATGACAAGCATGGGTTTCTGAAGACCAATTCTAACCCGAATCTTCACAGGGTGATTTGAAGTGTAATTCATTTAGTTCTTGGTGTGTCAGTAAAAGTAGCAGGTAATGCCAAATATTCACTTTTGGCACATGTGTTTTGTTTGTTTGTTAACACCGCCCTCAGCAATATTCCAGCTATATGACAGCGGTCTGTAAATACTCAAGTCTGGATCAGACAATCCAGTGACTGACATCATGAGCATCGATACACGCAATTCGGATACGATGACATGCATCATCCAGCGAGCCTGACCACCCGATCCGTTAGTCGCCTCTTACGACAAGCATAGTCACCTTTTAGGGCAAGCATGGGTTGCTGAAGACGGGATCTTCACAGGTCAGGCACATGTGTAGACACTTACGATTTCAGTGAAGCTTTATTGTGAAGGGATATTTATTGGAAAGGAATGTGATTTAATGTGAAACCAGTGGATCCTTAAACAGCCCAGGGAGGCAACTTGTCACAGAAAACTGTGTTGCAATACACAACTGTCCTGTTACCTTTCCAACAAGTTATACCATTTTGAAGTAGCTTGTTACCATGGATACCTAATCATAATTATTTACATTAGAATATCCTTGCCAATGATTTGGGACTGTGGAAGGATACAAGTCTCACTTACTTTAACATATCCTTGCCAATGATTTGGAACAGTGAAAGGATACAAGTCTCACTTACTTTAAAATATCCTTGCCAATGATTTGGGACAGTGAAAGGATACAAGTCTCACTTACTTTAAAATATCCTTGCCAATGATTTGGAACAGTGAAAGGATACAAGTCTCACTTACTTTAAAATATCCTTGCCAATGATTATGGACAGTGAAAGGATACAAGTCTCACTTACTTTAAAATATCCTTGCCAATGATTTGGGACTGTGGAAGGATACAAGTCTCACTTACTTTAAAATATCCTTGCCAATGATTTGGGACAGTGAAAGGATACAAGTCTCACTTACTTTAAAATATCCTTGCCAATGATTTGGGACAGTGAAAGGATACAAGTCTCACTTACTTTAAAATATCCTTGCCAATGATTTGGGACAGTGAAAGGATACAAGTCTCACTTACTTTAAAATATCCTTGCCAATGATCTGAGACGTAGGTGGCCATGTTGTTAGGTTGTCAGGGTAACCAGCCACGGTCAGATAGTTGATGAGGGCGTCCAACCAGACATAGATCTACAGGCAGACAGACATGATAGTTGCAGAGTTGGGTATTCATTGACCTGCTGCAGCACAATATTCCAGGCATTTAATGGCAGCCTGTATACAATCAAGCCTTGGCCAGGTGAGCTAGAGATTGACAGCAGGAGAAATGTCTCACATCCTCGCAGACAATGACACGCATTCAGCCAGGTCGGATCAGTGTTAGATGGTCAGATCAGTCATATCAAAGTCAGATGTCAGATTAGAGTCAGATGGTCAGATCAGTCACTTGGTCAGATCAGTCAGATGGTCAGTCAGATGGTCAGTCAGATGGTCAGTCAGATGGTCAGAGTCACATGGTCAGATCAGTCAGATGGTCAGATCAGTATAAGATGTCAGATCAGTCAGATGGTCAGTCAGATGGTCAGTCAGATGGTCAGAGTCACATGGTCAGATCAGTCAGATGATCAGTCAGATGTCAGATTAGAGTCAGATGGTCAGATCAGTCACTTGGTCAGATCAGTCAGATGGTCAGTCAGATGGTCAGTCAGATGGTCAGTCAGATGGTCAGATCAGTCACTTGGTCAGATCAGTCAGATGGTCAGTCAGATGGTCAGTCAGATGGTCAGTCAGATGGTCAGAGTCACATGGTCAGATCAGTCAGATGGTCAGATGAGAGTAAGATGTCAGATGAGAGTAAGATATCGGATCATTCAGATGGTCAGATCAGTGTAAGATGTCAGATCAGTCAGATGGTCAGATCAGAGTAAGATGTCAGATCAGTCAGATGGTCAGATCAGAGTAAGATGTCAGATCAGTCAGATGGTCAGATCAGAGTAAGATGTCAGATCAGTCAGATGGTCAGATCAGAGTAAGATGTCAGATCAGTCAGATGGTCAGATCAGAGTAAGATGTCAGGTCAATCAGATTAGAGTCAGATGGTCAGATCATTCAGATGGTCAGATGAGAGTAAGATGTCAGATGAGAGTAAGATATCGGATCATTCAGATGGTCAGATCAGTGTAAGATGTCAGATCAGTCAGATGGTCAGATCAGAGTAAGATGTCAGATCAGTCAGATGGTCAGATCAGTGTAAGATGTCAGATCATTCAGATGGTCAGATCAGTGTAAGATGTCAGATCATTCAGATGGTCAGATCAGTGTAAGATGTCAGATCAGTGTAAGATGTCAGATCAGTGTAAGATGTCAGATCATTCAGATGGTCAGATCAGTGTAAGATGTCAGGTCAATCAGATTAGAGTCAGATGGTCAGATCAGTCACTTGGTCAGAAGCCTTGGCCAGGTGAGCTAGAGATTGACAGCAGGAGAAATGTCTCACATCCTCGCAGACAGTGACACGCAATTAGCCAGGTCGGATCAGTGTTAGATGGTCAGATCAGTCATATCAAAGTCAGATGTCAGATCAGTCAGATGTTAGATCAGAGTCAGATGTTAGATCAGAGTCAGATGTTAGATCAGAGTCAGATGTTAGATCAGAGTCAGATGTTAGATCAGAGTCAGATGGTCAGATCTGAGTTAGTTGGTCAGACAAGAGTCAAATGGTCATATACTCAGATGTCAGATTCACATGGTCAGGACAGAGTCAGAATCTGACCATCTGATGACGTTTAGTCAGCTCTAATGAAAGTGTGAGATAATGATATGTCCCAAACAAAGTATGTTGGTTGTGCAACTTGATGGATTACGTCTGGTGATTTGGTAGATGGCGTGCGTGTCAGTGTATCCTGATTGTCTGGTCCAGTGAGTATGGTTTTACGCTGCTTTTAGCAATATTTAAGCAATATCACGGCGGGTAACAGCAGAAAATGTGCTTCACACATTGTACTCATATGGGGAATCGAACCCGGTTCTTCGGCTTGGCGAGCGAAGGCTTTAACCACTAGGCTTCCCGACCGCCCCCTGTTTTCATATAGCTGGAATGTTGCTGAGTGAGGCATCAAAGAACAAACAAACAAACAAACAAAACCAGTGAGAGGTACTGGTGACCTGTTCTGATATCGATCTACACAACTGGGATACAATGACATGCATCAAACAAGTCAAGCAAGCCTTACCACCCGATCAAGTTAAGATGCCTCTTACGACAAGCATAGTCACCTCTTACAGCAAGCATGGGTTGCCAAGACTTATTCTAACCCTGATCTTACTGTTTGAGCCTCATCTCCTGGAACTGGCACCCCCCAGGGCAACCTCTCCCGTTGCCTGGATACTGACAGGTCCGGGAGGTCCTGCAGGTACTGTCTAATCACAGTCTCAAACTTGGATGGTTTCACAGCTGTAATCAAACAAATTATAAACTTTCGATTAGTTTCCACATAAGATTTGTTGTCTGAAACAGGAACATAATGCTCTCAAGCTCAGAAAATTAAAATGCAATTATCTAAAAAACACATTTTACCGATGTATGTCAAGTCTTCCAAAAAAACAGCATGATGATGTCACTTCTAGTACCCCCATGTTACCTCAAGCACCCCACGTTACCTCCAGTACCCCACGTTACCTCCAGTACCCCACGTTACCTCAAGTACCCCACGTTACCTCCAGTACCACACGTTACCTCCAGCACCCCACGTTACCTCAAGTACCCCATGTTACCTTCAGTGCCACAAGTTACCTCCTGTACCCCACGTTACCTCCAGTACCCCACGTTACCTCCAGTACCACAAGTTACCCCCACGTTACCTCCAGTGTCGAGCCACTGCTCCAGTCTGGGGGAGAAGGTGGAGAGGCGGAACATGTAGTTGTCCTCCTTCATCCAGGTGACGGGCTGCTCGCTCTCCACACTCACCTGCAACACAAGCATCACAGCTTCAGTGAGGCGTCTTACATCGTTGTACCTGCAGACTTACGTTGTTACAACACAAGCATCACAGCTTCAGTGAGGCGTCTTACATCGTTGTACCTGCAGACTTACGTTGTTACAACACAAGCATCACAGCTTCAGTGAGGCATCTTACATCGTTGTACCTGCAGACTTACGTTGTTACAACACAAGCATCACAGCTTCAGTGAGGCGTCTTACATCGTTGTACCTGCAAACTTACGTTGTTACAACACAAGCATCACAGCTTCAGTGAGGCATCTTACATCGTTGTACCTGCAGACTTACGTTGTTACAACACAAGCATCACAGCTTCAGTGAGGCGTCTTACATCGTTGTACCTGCAGACTTACGTTGTTACAACACAAGCATCACAGCTTCAGTGAGGCGTCTTACATTGTTGTACCTGCAGACTTACGTTGTTACAACACAAGCATCACAGCTTCAGTGAGGCGTCTTACATCGTTGTACCTGCAGACTTACGTTGTTACAACACAAGCATCACAGCCACAGTGAGGCGCCTTACATCGTTGTACCTGCAGACTTACGTTGTTACAACACAAGCATCACAGTTTCAGTGAGGCGTCTTGTGTTGTTGTAGCCGCAGATTTACACTGCTATAACGCAAACATCACAGCTTCAGTGAGGCGACTTACGTTGTTGTACCCGCAGATTTACACTGCCTGACCACCCGATCCCGTTAGTCGCCTTTTACGACAAGCATAGTCACCTTTTACGGCAAGCATGGGTTGCTGAAGACCTATTCTATCCCGGAATCTTCAAGGGTCTGGGCACATTGGGTGAAGTTCACCCATGATATTGCTGGAATATTGCTAAAAGTGGCGTCAAACCTTACACACTCCCTCACTTGAAATCACCGTGTTGGATTGCGTTTCAGAATATAAATCACCAGCCCTGTAAGAGTTATCTACCTTGGCAGTGCTTCCGTCAGGTGTCGTTACATCCTTCACTTCATCTGATGTGAGGAATGCTTCATCAGACACAGAGTACCACCCTTCGTAACTGCCGCGGTAGATGTGGCCGTTCGATTCAAGTTGTTCCTGCAAACAGAATATCATAAAGATAAAACCTTTTGCTATTAAACCAATTACTAATTTTAGTGTGTACTTCACAAATTTCAGGAATTTCTTGAATCTGTAATTGAAATCCCCATCTATTGCAGACTTAAGGCTTCTAAACTTCTGTGCCAGCATGGAACATCAGTAAAACTTTTGGAAATCAAGTGAAGTGTGCCATAGCGTTAGTCTGGAATTCATATGCATATGTCTTGGATCCCCCAAAGAGTTCCTGTACTTAAGAAACAAATGACGAGTGGGAGTTGTTTATCATACAAAAAAAAAACACTGCAGGAAGAATAAACCATGAGGGGCAGCGCCAAGTGTTTTATTCCCCCTACAGTGAGTTGGGTTTAACCCCGCTATTAACAGTATTCCAGTTATATCACGGCGGCCAGCTTAATGTGGGAGGAAAGCCCGAAGTGATGCAGGTCTCGGACGTTTACCACTTCGGTGAAACCCACGAGCACGGGTATGGTGCTGACAAACCTAGAAACATAAATTGTGCGATCCGGGATTCGAACCCACTATCATAGGTTTCTGGTATGCCCAAAGGACGCAACTCTGCACAGGGAATCGCAGCGCCTTACACGACTGGGCCACCTGCGCCCCCAAAATTCTTGGAAATCAAGTGAAGTGTGCCATAGTGAGTGAGTGAGTGAGTATGGTTTTACGCCGCTTTTAGCAATATTCCAGCAATATCCCGGCGGGGGACACCAGAAATGGGCTTCACACATTGTACCCATGTCGGGAATCGAACCGGGGTCTTCGTCGTGACGAGCGAACGCTTTAACCACTAGGCTACCCGACCGCCCCTAAGTGTGCCATAGAGCTAGTTTGGGATTCATATACTTATGTCTTGGATCCCCTAAAGAGTCCCTGTTTTTTAGAAATAAACGACGAGTGGGAGTTATTTATCATACAAAAAAAAACACAGCAGAAAGAATAAACCATGAGGGGTGCAGCCCAAAGTGGTTTGTTCCCCCTGCAGTGTTTTCTGGTACGATAAACAACGACCATGAGTCGTTTATTTCTTATATCAGATTTGAACATTATGTACTGCCTCTTTAAGAATGTTGATAAAATGAACAAGTTTTAAAAATATATACCCAGATTATATTAATGATGACTCCCTGAATAGAATCCGACCTTGGAAATGTCAGACAAGTCCAGGTGGGTTACCCGGTAGTTCACGTACAATCCTCACATTGATTAGCTGTACCTTTTCTCCTAATACTGACTACCATATCTCTCCCACTTTTGGATGTGATCGTTCAGCCACTGCGTTTACCTGCGTAGCTCAGCTACATCCATGGGGAACAACTTACAAGACACTTCCCTATCAAAAATAATGTTGTCCAAAAATGACATCAAGTTGCGAGTGTTTATTCAAATCTCCAGAACATTGTGAAATAAACCATGCTTTGTTCTTCATTGTTCTTTTCTATATATATTGTAGCTATCTTATATTTGAAAATATATATACCCAGGTAAATCCCTTCACAGTGCATTGAGGGTGATAAGAAAAAAAAAAAAAACAGGTTGTTTTTTTCCAAAATATATCTGCAGATCTATAAAATAATATGAGTGGCCTAATTTAACACCATTTCTTAGCAACAAAGGAGAAACAAAAGTTGAATAATATTTTGGAATACTAGATCTATAGAATGTTACGAAGAGCACAACACTGTCCCATCCTTTCTATCTATGTAGGGAACTAGATATAGCTTGCACCTAGTATGGACATCAAAACCTTGTTGCACCAGACTAAACCAGGCTGCACTCATATTGGTACTTATTAACTATACTGACAGTAGTATTTCCTACAAACCAGTGTAGATCAGGATTAGAAGAGGTCTTCAGCAACCCATGCTAGAAGGCCTGTAAATAATCGCGTTGAGACCAGACAATCCAGTGATTGATGTCATGAGCATCGATCTACTCAATTGGGATCGATGACATGCATCAACCGAGTCAGTGTGCTTGACCACCTGATCCCATTAGTCGTCTCATAGGACAAGCATAGTCAACTCTTACAGCAAGCATGGGCTGCTGAAGACCAAGTCTAATCAGGATCTTCAAGGGGCTTTTAACCACTGACCAGTTGACTCACAATTAGTCACAAGAATAAAATTATCTCATCTAAAAATATATATCTTAAAAATAAAAAGAATAAAATTCAAATGGAGTCCGGAACAATGTTTAATTTCAGAGCTGGGGCAATCTAGACTTGCAAAATCATTCTGGACTTGAGTTGTACTCCTTTTCTAATTTATTCTCTGGGGTCTGAGAGAAGACTAACTCAGCACCTCAGGATCAAGCTGGCAGGGGGGCACGGGTGGCCCAGTCATCTAAGGTGCTGCAATTCTCTGTGCAGAGTTGCCTCTCTTGGGCACTCCAGACACCTATGATTGTGGGTTCGAATCCCGGTTTGCTCCAGTTATGTTTCTAGGTTTGTCAGCACCATACCCGTGCTCCTGGGTTTCACCAAAGTGGTAAATGTCTAAGACCTGCATCACTTCAGGCTTTCCTCCCACATCAAGCTGACACGAAGTGATATAACTGGAATAATGTTCAAACCAGCGTTAAATCCAACTCACTCACTCACTCAAGCTGGTAGAAAGCCCAAAGTGACACAGAGTGTACACATACAAAATTTGATGACACACGATATGGTACCGACAGACCAAGCATTTTATTCCGGGTGAATCATGGATTCACACACATCAGCAGCAGATCCTGGCATGACTAAGGGAGATGACCCATGTCCCCATCAACCTTATCAGCAAGGAATTAGTTGTCTGACAAAGTAAAAGGAGAGAATATCCCTACCCCATATAAAAATACCCAATAATAAATTACCAGGCCCTTGGCATTTATTTTAAGCAAAACCCTGCAACACATAAAGCGTTTCTGTATCTATCCTAATTTGTCAGACCCCGTGAAGATTCCAGTGTAGAATAGGTCTTCAGCAACCCATGCTTGCCGTAAAGGGTGACTATGCTTGTCGTAAAAGGCGACTAACGGGATCGGGTGGTCAGGCTCGCTGACTTGGTTGATGCATGTCTTCGATCCCAATTGCATGGATCGATGCTCATGATATTAATCACTGGATTGTCTGGTCCAGACTCGATTATGTACAGACCGTCGTCATATAGCTGGAATATTGCTGAGTGCAGCGTTAAACAACAAGCCAACCAACCAACCAACCAACCTAATTTGTCAGAACACCTCAATAGCCCAGACAAAAACTTGGACAAAATTGCAACAGAATTTATTTCACCACAATGCATTTCTACAAGGTCCCTAAAACAACATACTAAAAGTCCCAAGCAATCCCAGTTTGGGAAATATGTCTAATTTGCATAATCCAATATGGCCACCAATTATCAACATATCTTCCATATTTCTGATGAGGTTCAATGTTTTGATGAAAAAAAGCATGTGTTGTATTGTAAAATAGCCATATTATTACAACATATGTTGTCTAATGTAAACAGACTTTAATTTTCATCTTAGGTGACTGCTGTCAGTTTGGAAAACAAATGGGTCAACAGTCACATGCTATTTGCCTAACCACAAATTAAAGGCTACCCACACATTAAACAGTCAGAAGCATGCCCCAAACGGGCAGCAAACATTTATGAGGAGTCACCAGATACAGAGGATGGTTGAATATGCAACTTAATTAGGAGCATTAGGGTTGTTTAAACATGACAAATTGTCAGGACATTTTTATGTCAGTGTTTCAAAAGGTGAGCAAATATTTTTAGATTATCAGAAAATATTTGCGTAAACTGCCTGTATTGATTGGCATTGTGTGGTTATATTCGCAGTCTTAGGTCGTAACTGTGTAACGCTAAGCATATAGTGGTACAGTGGAATCTCCTTACTTCACACTGTGTTACTGTAAACCACAATATCCAAGACTTTGGCGCCGACAATGTGAACATTTTCTGTTACCATTTTAGATTCTTGAACAGAAAGTATGAGAGATTCGATTGTGAAAATATTAGGATAAAGTTTAGGCTAAAATCAATTCTTGGTTATCAGGCACCGCTCGCATCATCATAAAGTCTGCCGCACCTTTCATCATATTTTCCATTTTAAAAAGAAATATAAAAAATTCTAATACTTAAAAACAATGCGATCCAATGTAGCACACAGTTACTTCCCCTTACATGCACACTGCCTTACTGCGCATCTCGTGTTATGGTCATGGCGGCAATAGGAGTTTGTATGCTTGTTTATGTAGGGAGGCCCTTTACCAGGTCGATGGTACATCTGTTTTTAGGCCCTTTATCAGGTCGATGGTACATCTGTTTTTAGGCCCTTTACCAGGTCGATGGTACATCTGTTTTTAGGCCCTTTACCAGGTCGATGGTACATCTGTTTATTTGGTTACATACTAGTTTAAACAAGGTAAAAAAAATTAATAATAACACTGTCCGCCCACACTATATTTTCAAAAGTCATTGCCTTAGAACCAATTCTTTTATTTTCTTAAGCCTTATTTACAAAAAAGCTATTTCAGTACTATTGTGATTTGCATTGGGGAAACTTGAAAGACAGAGTCACTATGTTGAACAGTTTGTCTATTGAAACAATGTGAACAAATAATCAACTTCTGATTCATTCCTTCAGATGAGTTTTTGTAGGAAGAGGACTAATGAGGTAAACATTACAATATTTGCCGTATTAAGACCCTACAAAATAATTTTATTTTTTTGCTATTTTCATGGTTTTTTTTATGTTTGTCATTCTTGAAGACAAACAAAATAAACATATAAGGCCTAATCTGTATAAGCGCTCCCTCCAATTGTAATTAAAAAATTTTTAAATGACAATCCATAATTTCCTGTGTTTATTACAGATTGTTTTTTTCACAGAAACAGCAGTGTAGAATATGTAATTGGGTAGGGACGGGGTACTTGGGTACTCGGGTTGGGTGGGTACTGAGTAGGACCCGGGTACCCACTGGACTA